GGTCGCTCAGAGCCAAAGATCTTGTTCGACGCTGAACCTGTGGGTTCCACCAAATTTCCGCCTCTTCGTCCTCTTCGAAGACGAAAATTGGCAAGAATTTTTCGTCCTGACATAAAGAAAATTTGACAAGAACGAAAGCCAACTTGCGATGAAACAACCTGATCAAGAACAGTTCGCGTGCACAAATGAAATATCACACCGCAATTCGCGTTACTTGTGACAACTGGCGGTGAATTTTAATTAGAGGTGACAACGCGCTGAAAGGGGTTAATAATATTCAAAAATAGTTTTTTTGCTTTAACTTAAAAAGTAAAAAAGCCCTTTCCCCCTTTCTTTTTGCAAAATATTTATCTCAGTCTTCCCAATGTGAACAGCCAAAAAAAGATAACGCGGCTAACGTAACAGCAATGCATCATAAAGTAGAAACAGTTTAAGGTATCTTACCAGGGCTCCTGATCTTACTAGCTTTCCTGCCAACCAGTGCCGAACAACGCGGTTTAGACATGAAGAGCCCACCCCTGTGGCAGCAGTATAACTTTAAACGATTTTAATTTGATGTTTTAAGAACAGTTTTTACGAATTTTCGTCTTTAATTTCATAACAGAAAAGAGCTCCATGTACTAACTTAAAACGTTTTTTGCTCCCCGAAAGTAACGATCCCCCGATAGCAACGACACCCCCGAAAGTAACGATCCCCAAAGGCTGCTAATTCCAAAAGTAACGTGGTTCTTTTCTTTCGGAATTTTATTTTGTATCTGTTTCTGGGGCTTTGGAGAACCGGGCCTCTGATCAGCTTCTTGACTGCTGAGGTAGTTTATAGAGTAGTCAACTATGGACCAGGGCCCCGTTTCTCGAAAGCCCCGGAAACGTTTCGGGCCCGTAAAGCCATTTTTAGTTCATCTGTATCTACAAACGGAGTAGTGTATATGCCTGAAACTTCTTGTATGAAGGGAACCTCTGTTCATATTAAGAATACGTGAATCAAACAGCGCTGTAATCGTAATGTTCGAGATTTTGCTATGGCTTTCCGAGCCCGAAAAGTTTCCGGGGCTTTCGAGAAACGGAGCCCTGGTCCCGATTTGGAAGAGTACTTTTATAAAAGGGCGTTCGCGAGGGTCATTACGCGCGTGTAGACAAACTTGGATCCCCCTTTCTGGGTTGGTCAGCGGAAAATCCTTGATGGCGGAAAACAAAATGGCTGAAGGCCATGCTATTTGAAAATGGCAAGTTTTACGGAATTTGTCCGAGTAGCTTATTGCCAAATAAACCTTGGAAATGTGTTGCGTGAAGGGGAACACCTTCACCTTCTGTCGAGCTGAATGCTGAATCGAAGTAAACTAAAGTACGAAAGAAGCGGCGGTATAGCTTTAATTTATTATTATTATTTTTTTTATTTTCACCGAAAAAATTGAGGTGTCTAGAAGGGGGTACAGGTTTTGTCTACACCCCGCACGGATAAAAAAAAAGAAGAAAAAATTCGTTAATTTCCCTGTTTTCCACTTGAACTAAGGTATCCTAGCTGTCCTAGTACAAAACCATGTAGATAAGGGTCTATCTTAAACCCAGACCCGCGCCTTTAAGCTTGTGACTCTTTGTTGTAACATACACGAAGACGGAGTTGTCACTTTCAATTACATGCACGCCCAGATCTGGCGAGGAGTCTGAGGTGTGGTTGTATTTCATCTTTCAGTTGGGGGCCACTTTCTCTTCATTCCAGGTGATGTATACCTTATTATTTCCTTAAGGCTAATCACTGAGACAGTTTCTGTGTGGGATCGCAAACACTGCCTTACTATGAAAGTTGCAAGCTACATTGTAATTCACAGGATGATTGTTTACGATCGCGTGCGACGCCATGTTGTATTTTGTCAATGGGTTTTAGTCCAGACGAAGAAACCTTGCCAAAATGCGAGTTCTTTGCCCGTTTTCTACTTTATCGCAACTCAGATTACGTTAAATGAAAATTAACAGCCTAAACAAGGGATCATGATTTTGTTATTTTGGAGTAATGAGGATATAGACTCAGTTCGAAGTTGTTTGAAGCCAGCTAGTAGTGTTGTTAAAGACAATTAATGTAAGCTAAGACCATATCGGAATTATCGTTTCCCCTGTATATTTTGTCGTGGTTTACTGGCGGACATCGCACCGGGATTTTAAACAGTTAATAGTTAAACTTGCTTGTTTCGGCATAAACTTAGCTTGGATCATTTCTTGAAATGGTTTCACTGAGAAGCCTTCAATTGGCTTCTTGAAGAACCGGTCAAAAGTCATTGCACTGCTTGGACCCAACATTTATCGTCAAGTATTTATGTTGCTTTCCTGTATTCAAATCTATTAATCCTTTAAAACATGTATTTTTAAAGGCATAGATATGAAATAGTATTTTGTTCAAGCATTTTACTGTAAGTACTTTGTGAGGATTAGAGCTACTGGACCAGTATTTTAGGGTGTCTGGAAAACCCGAATAGCGAATAGCGAACAGCGAATAGTCCCCAATAGCGAATAGCGAATAGTATGAATAGTCTCGAATAGTGTGAATAGTGGCAAATTAGTGGCAAATCGTAGCAAATAAAGTATCCAGTATCTCGCAGTCAACCTTGCAGCAATGTAAGACGGGATTTTCCCACTAAAAAGCACAGACGCTTGTCAGGACAAAAGGTGTTTCTAAACGTAATTTCTTCTGTTTTAACCACTCCAAAAGTGTAAATATGTCTTTATTAGATTATCCTTCTGTTTTCTGTTTTCTTAATGTCGGCGATGGACAGCCCGAGCCTGAGTCCGGAGAAGAAAAGGTAATAAATTCACTGAAATTCTGTTGCTTATTTGGATAATTAATTAATGCAAGGATATTAGACCTAAGGCGGTGACTGTTGACAACTATTCGTCACTATTCGCAACTGTTCGCCACTATTCACACTATTCGAGACTATTCCCACTATTCGGGACTATTCGCTATTCGCTGTTCGCATCTATTCGCTATTCGCTATTTGGGTTTTCCAGACACCCAGTATTTTACATGCAATGAAATGCCATAATATTTACACAAGGGCAAAAGTCTTTAATTTAAGGTCGTGCCATAAACTTACGATAGTACCAACCATAACCATAACAGCAGCCATCGGTGAAAGCATTCTGACATTTTCTGAATTACAAACTGTGTGTTATGAGACTGCAAGCTTAATGAGAGACCGATTGGACAACATCCAACAACGATTTTCTCCTGGGATGATCCACATCTAAAATACCTAGTGGACTGTTTAGATACTCAGCTGATCCACACCATTGATTTGAATTTGTTCAAATGGTTACAGACAACTTTTGGAAGAAATGGACAAGAGATTATTTTCCAAGCCTGTTAATACAACAGAAATGGCATACTGCACATAGAAACTTAAAAGTAGGAGATGTTGTTCTTATCCAGGATTCCAATCTAATCAGAAACCAATGGAAACTGGGAAAAGTATCAAAGACATTTGAAGGACCAGATGGCAAAGTACACAAGGTTCATGTACAATATAGAACCCAAAACCTGGAGAACTGGTATTGAAATACAACGAAAGAGGTTACGTCACAATTGAGAGACCAGTTAACAAGTTGGTCGTTCTGTTACCCAATGATGAACATAGACTATCTGCATAATAACTTGAGCAACATTCAGTTACTGTAAACAAAAATATTAGTTTAACTTGTATTTGGTGGGGGGGGGG